TGAGCGCGTGTAAGCGATTATGCCGCTGGTGAGTTGGAGGCGGGGATCACTGGACTTTGGACCCCATGTAACTGGTGTCTGGCGAATGATAGTGTCACCCAAAACTGCTCGAAAACTGTGTCTGACCCACAGACGACTTTGTATCTGAACGCCTTCCGCTGGAAACAAGGGCTATCATGTGGTATAGATACCATACCCATACCCATACCCATACCCACACCACGAGCAGACTACCTGCTCTTCGCTTATCTGCAGAACCAAGAAAGGGAGCAAAAAGATGATGAAAGATTGCATCATGCTGGCGGGGGAGCTCCGCCGGAACCTGCTTCTAACGAAAGTGACGTGGACTGGCCGCTACACGAAGGTTGCATCGACTGGTGACTGGGGACTGGGAACCCCTTTACGGGCACCGCCCTCCAACTCCAATCCCCCGGATCGCCGGGCCCTGTGCGAATTGCGGCGAGCAAGTTTCTCGAGTTTGGAGCGGTGGAGACCAACAAAACCTGAACGACCAGACGACGAACAGCTGATCAGCCAGTTTGGCTGTTTGGCTGTATCTTTTCTGTTTGTATTTGGGTTTTATTTGTATTCGTTTCTTTCACGGCGCTGACTCTTTTCCAACGGCTGTGCCTTACCGCTTAGAATTTGAAATTCACGTTACGAGGTCCGCCAAAGGGGTACAGTTGTGCTCGCTTCGGTTAGTCGTCTGAACGTCTGGCGGCAGCTGTAGGTAGAGTATCTGAAAAGGTCGTTATCACTAGCTCAATAAATAGGTAGAGAATTGTATTTAACCTTTTCGTAACCGTATCTGTTGAGTTCACTTTCTTCGGAAGCATACATACAATATGGTTGGTAGGAATATTACATTATTTTAAGATTCACTTCTGTCCCGCAAACCCTTTAAAAGAGAACCTTACTGGCCTTCTTCCAGATTGGCTCCCGCACACCGGAACTTAAACCTCCGCCTGACCTGTCGCTTCCTCTCCGTTCAGTACGGAGATGCCCAGATCCTCACCCCCGCCGTCAAACAGTACGTGGAAAAGTGCGTGGATCTCTGCCAACCGGAGAGGGTGCACATCTGCGATGGAACTGAGGGCGAGAGCAAGTTGCTCCAGGGCATCATGCTGAAGAAGGGAACCATCATTCCTCTGCCGAAGTACCAAAACTGCTGGCTGGCGAGAACCAATCCGGCGGACGTGGCCCGAGTGGAGGGCAAAACCTTCATCTCTACGGATTCCAAGGAGCAGACAGTGCCGGTCACGGAGAAGGCCACACCGGGAATGCTGGGTAACTGGATGGCGGAAGGGGACCTGCAAGTGGCGATCAAGGAGAGATTCCCCGGCTGCATGAAGGGTCGCACCATGTATGTCATTCCCTTCAGCATGGGTCCAGTGGGCTCACCTCTCTCCAAAATCGGAATCGAGATCACGGACTCACCATACGTCGTGGAGTCCATGAAGATCATGACTAGGGCGGGCAATCCAGTGCTAAAATATCTACAATCCGGGGATGGGCAGTTCGTCAAGTGCCTGCATTCCGTGGGCACGCCCAAAAGTGGTGTCCAGGCGATGCCATCCTGGCCCTGCGATCCCGAACGCACCATTGTGCTGCACAAGCCAGCGGAAAATGAGATTGTATCCTACGGATCTGGGTATGGTGGCAACTCGCTGCTGGGCAAGAAGTGCCTCGCTCTGAGGATTGGCAGCACCATTGCCAAGCGGGAGGGCTGGCTGGCCGAGCACATGCTGATCCTGGGCATCACCAATCCGCAGGGTAAGAAGATCTACATTGCTGCCGCCTTCCCATCGGCCTGCGGCAAGACCAACCTGGCCATGATGACACCTACCTTACCGGGCTACAAGGTGGAGTGCGTGGGTGACGACATCGCCTGGATGAAGTTCGACAAGAAGGGAGTGCTGCGAGCGATTAACCCGGAGAATGGATTCTTTGGCGTGGCGCCCGGTACCTCGAGGGCCACCAATCCCATAGCCATGGACACGATATTCCAAAACTCTGTCTTTACGAACGTGGCCTCCACATCCGACGGTGGAGTTTACTGGGAGGGAATGGAGAAGGATCAGCTGAAGGGTGTTACAGTTACGGATTGGTTGGGCAAACTCTGGTCGCAGGAGTCCGGAAAGCCGGCTGCCCATCCCAACTCCAGGTTCTGCACACCCGCCTCTCAGTGCCCCATCATCGATCCCGCCTGGGAGGATAGCGAAGGAGTGCCCATCTCCGCCATTCTGTTCGGAGGACGTCGTCCCAGCGGCGTTCCCTTGGTTTACGAGGCTCGGGACTGGAAGCACGGCGTATTTATTGGAGCTGCTATGCGGAGCGAGGCCACCGCAGCCGCTGAATTCAAGGGCAAGGTCATCATGCACGATCCCTTCGCCATGAGACCCTTCTTCGGCTACAACTTTGGCGACTATCTGGGTCACTGGCTAAGCATGGAGCAGCGTGGCCAGGTGCCCAAGATCTTCCACGTAAACTGGTTCCGCAAGAGCAGCGAGGGCAAGTTCCTGTGGCCCGGATTCGGGGAGAACTCACGAGTCCTGGACTGGATCTTTCGGCGGGTGGAGGGCGAGCAGTGCTTTGAGGACTCCCCCATTGGCCGGCTGCCCAGCAAGGAATCACTGAACTTGGAGAGCTTGAAGGAAAACATTGATCTCGACCAGCTCTTCGAGCTGCCAAAGGATTTCTGGCAGCAGGAGGTGGATGCCATAGAGCGGTACTTCGAGGAGCAGGTGGGCCACCATCTGCCAGGTGCCGTGGCCGAGGAGCTGAGGAAGCTGAAGGCGCGTGTTGCTGACATGTGATGTGTGTGTTCCATAGGTTACTTCCTAATCTAAGACCCCTTATTGCCTAAAATAAAACGAAACGAGCGAGATTTTTATAGCGAAATTCGACTTGTGCCTATTCGGGAACGGGATTGGCATCGAAATTGGGTTTGGGGCGTGGCCTGGACGCGGGACGCGGCTTATCAGTGGTCGCCCCGGCGGAGGCCCGTCCGCAATCGGCGTAAACAAGCGTATAAATCCATAATGCCGTTTAACCTAACTTATCAAGAGATCGAGGCGATGAAAAACAAGCAAATAAATGCCAAAAAATGCCAACAAAAGAAAAGTTTATGGGTGAATATTTGCCATTTTGGGTGGGTTGCCAAGGACTGATTGCCAAATCTGAAGCGTGTGGTGTGATGTACACTTTGGGGTGAACAGTGATAAGAAGCCAAATAGCCAGGAAACCAAAAGGCCAAATAGCTAAGGAGCCAAGTCCCTAAAAATAGTTCAAGTGATGTTTTCCCTTGGAAAGTTTTCCTGGTCGACAGTACAAATCCGGGTCTGATCTATATTTAGACGACTCAGAGGCTCGTCCACTGATAACCCATCCAAGCTCAGCCGCCTTCCTCCGAACCGATCGCTTATTGATTATGCATATATTTAGCGAATCGATCGTCTATTGACGTACATTCCAAATAAGCCCGAATCATCGAAATGCGCCAACTGGGGGTCAGGTGGAACAGGAGCGGAGCAGTTAGAGTCTGAGTCCGAGTCCGAGTCCAAGTCTGGGTCCAGTCCAGCAATTAGCGCCGATGATGAAGATTATCAGGCCCAACTAGAAAAACAAGTCCATAGTTATAAATAACCGAACCGAAAATCGCGGCAACGCGTGTAGACGAATTCGATTCAATTCGAAGCCGGACTGTTTCCAAATGGAGTCCAAAATGAGGGTGGGGAATGTAGAAGGGGGAGCCAAGGACCAAGGACAACCATCTCATCAGGTTTCTCCAAGGACGTTGGCCGCCAGTCCCTTCTGGGTCTAGGCAAAGTGGTTTTTCAGCGGTAAACGAAAGCTGGTTTATTATTATCATTAATAAGAAGTTGATTTAAAAGTGTATTTAGCTTACTTGTCATTTACCTATCATTAATAAGAAGTTGATTTAAAAGTGTATTTAGCTGACTTGCTATGCAGTTTACGTTTGCCTGAAGTCTCAAATTAGAGCTGGCAAGCGTCAATTTGGTGTAATATTAGAAATAACACTGCTAAAAATAAACAGAGCCACTGTACGTGCCACTTTCCCGACTCCTTCTGTTAAACTTCTTGTCAGAGTATCCAGCGGATTCTGGGGCTTCTGGCAAACTGGATGGGGGCGGGGGGACAAAGTCACACCACCGGCAGCACCTTCATTTCTCCTTCCCCATAGACGAAAACAAGAGTGGCCACATGACGACCATCCGGGCCATGCTATTCTTGGTGCGCCCCAGAGTCACATGAATGTGAATGCTGGCCTCCAAGGCGGTCGTGGCCAATTGAGGAGGCACCCGGCTCATCTGGATGGCATGAGGGGGGCGGATTAGCGCACAAATTTTCCGTCACCGATTCTGCAAATAAGCGAAAGTTTTTTCGATTTGGCAAATGGCCAAAACGAGGGGCCATACATGTGGTCAGCAGGCGTAGGAGGGCGCGTGTTGCAGCAATGTATCTGTGTATCTGTGCATATGTATCTGCGGCCAATGCAGCTGTAGACGCATCCAGAATTTACCCAGCTGCTGTTGCCTCAGCTGTCCGTGAACTGGTTTCTATTTTCGCAGCAGCCGCACTTGTGGCGCATAGAATCATAAACAGAATAATTAAATTAACAGCGCGAAAGTGGCAAATTCAGGCTGTTCAAAATAACAAACAAACGCTTATCAATGCAAACGCACTAGAAAAAACGCTCCCAGCGCCGCACCAAAACAACGGTCTGCTGTTGCCAAGTGGGGACATACCCCACATACCCATGGTACCCCCCCCATTCGTATCCCCCGCTCCTCGTAGCGGCGACTGTGAAAAACCAAAACAATCGCCGAGCCTCCGCCGGCAGCCAATCAGCTCCTCCGGAGTTTGACCCTCTCGCTCGGCGAGGCGAGCCGATCGCAGATCGTAAACCCGATTGCCGAGCCGATCGGCCGACTGGTTCTAGTCGCCTCGATGGCCAGGCGTCGCCGGTCGGGTATAAAAGGGCCCAGATCGGGGCAGCTGGCATCAGTTACTCGTGGCCAGAGTAAATGGAAAGATCAAGTGAAAAGCCTACTTTCAGTGGTCTGAAAATCAAGTTGATGTTTGACAAGAAACTGTGGAAGAACATATGAACGCAAAGTCCTCGACAGCAGAACACTAATTGTGATAAAAACACCCAAATTGTGATAAGCGAATTAAGCAAAGTGCCAAAAACTCGATCACGCCAGTAACGCGAAATTCAAATACTATCAAAAATATTCCAAACTTTTTTTCGAGAGAAATTCACAAAATACAACACCACCAACATGCCTGAGCTCATCGAACAAAGCAAAATTATGTAAGTATATGAAAGAGGTCGCACGAAGCGCATTCAATGGCAATTAATATTTAATGCAGTCCATTATTTGGTGCCCCACTACCGAAGCCAGTTAATTAAATTGCAATTTTAATAACCCACCTGCTCTCCCCTCAGCTCCGGCAACGTGTGCGGTCTGCCCCAGTTGCACAAGCTGCGCCAGGACAATTGCGGTCTGTACAGCCACATCCGTGGCATTCCCATCTCCTATGGAAATGTGGACTCGCTGACCGCCGGTGTGCGCGCCTTCGTGGAGGAGGGAATCGCCATGTGCCAGCCCGACCAGGTGCACATCTGCGATGGCAGCGAGCAGGAAAACAAGATGCTCATCAAGAGCCTGCTGGAGGCGGGCACCATTGTGCCGCTGCCCAAGTACGACAACTGTTGGCTGGCGCGCACCAATCCGGCGGATGTGGCCCGTGTCGAGTCGCGCACGTTCATCTGCACCGAACGGCGGGAGGAGACGATTCCCACCCCGGTGGAGGGCGTCAAGGGAACGCTGGGCAACTGGATCTCGCCCAGCGACATGGAGGCTGCAGTGCAGCAGCGCTTCCCCGGCTGCATGAAGGGGCGCACCATGTACGTGGTGCCCTTCAGCATGGGCCCTGTGGGCTCACCGCTCTCCAAGATCGGCATCGAACTCACGGACTCCGCTTACGTGGTGGCCTCCATGAGGATCATGACTCGCATGGGCGCCGCTGTTCTGCGCCAACTGGCCAAGAAGGAGGAGTTCGTCCGCGCCCTGCACTCTGTGGGCGCCCCTGCCAACGGACAGGTGGAGCAGCCATCCTGGCCCTGTGATCCCGAGCGCACCATCATTCTGCACAAGCCCGCCGAGAACCTTATTGTGTCCTACGGATCCGGCTACGGCGGCAACTCGCTGCTGGGCAAGAAGTGCTTCGCCCTGAGGATTGGCAGCACCATTGCCAAGCGGGAGGGCTGGCTGGCCGAGCACATGTTGATCCTGGGCATCACCGATCCCAAGGGCGAGAAGAAGTACATCACTGCCGCCTTTCCGTCGGCCTGTGGCAAGACCAACCTGGCCATGCTGAATCCCTCGTTGGCCAACTACAAGGTGGAATGCGTGGGCGACGACATCGCCTGGATGAAGTTTGACTCGCAGGGAGTGTTGCGTGCCATTAACCCGGAAAATGGATTCTTTGGCGTGGCTCCCGGAACCTCGATGGAGACCAATCCCATTGCCATGAACACTGTGTTCAAGGACACCATCTTCACGAACGTGGCCTCCACCTCTGATGGCGGTGTCTTCTGGGAAGGCATGGAGAGCAGTCTGGCCCCCAATGTCCAGATCACCGACTGGCTGGGCAAGCCCTGGACCAAGGATTCCGGCAAGCCCGCTGCGCATCCCAACTCCCGCTTCTGCACCCCGGCCGCCCAGTGCCCGATTATCGATGGAGACTGGGAAGATCCAGCGGGAGTGCCCATCTCCGCCATGCTCTTCGGAGGTCGTCGGCCCGCCGGAGTGCCCCTAATCTATGAGGCTCGGGACTGGACCCACGGAGTCTTTATTGGAGCAGCCATGAAGAGTGAGGCCACTGCTGCCGCCGAGCACAAGGGCAAGGTGATCATGCACGATCCGTTCGCCATGAGGCCGTTCTTTGGCTACAACTTTGGCGACTACGTGGCCCACTGGCTGAGCATGGAGAAGCGTGGCCAGGTGCCCCAGATCTTCCACGTCAACTGGTTCCGCAAGAGCGCCGAGGGCAAGTTCATGTGGCCCGGATACGGCGAGAACTCCCGTGTGCTCGACTGGATCCTGCGCAGGGTCAATGGCGAAGCCTGCTACGTGGACTCCGCCATTGGACACATTCCCGCCGAGGGCGCCCTCAACCTCGATGGCATGAAGGACAAGGTGGACCAGGAGGAGCTCTTCTCGCTGCCCAAGGAGTTCTGGTCGCAGGAGGTCAAGGAGATCCGCACCTACTTCGAGTCTCAAGTGGGCGCCGATCTTCCGGCCAGCATTTACCAGCAGCTGGACGAGCTGTCTGCCCGCGTAGCCAACTTGTAAGAAGGATCAATGAGGAGCGTCCCATCTAAAGCATCTTTACCTGCCCACACACCCACACACACACACCTGCTCACCCACTGTGCTATCCCGTACTGACCCCATATACTCACCAACCCAGCTTGATATCCTGTCCTATGCCCCAATATCCTTTAGTCGTTTCTCTAGTTCTTAAGCCGAAGACTTCCAACTATTTATTATATAAGCAGCCATAAGATTAGCAAGTAGTGCCAAACAAACAACAAATATGAAAAAATAAAACAACACGATTTTATAACCTACATCCTATTTGAGTATTTATTTATCACAAGAAGCCTAAGTTTATAATATTATTTATCACAAGAAGCTTGAGTTTTTGGATGTTATTTATAAGTAATGCTTCATAGCTGCACGACTCATATATTAGCGCTAAAAACAATCATTCAAATAGATAAACCAGTTTTAATGCGTCCTAAGACTTAAAACATGAGTTTCAAATGTTATAATTGAAAGACGAGATATCTAATGTTTCGTAGCCAAAATTTTTAAAAATGCTAACTTAGTAATTTCTGTACATCTGCATTATAAAGCTGAAACCGCTAGATGATTTGCCAATCATCTCCTGCAACTACAGTGCCGTCCACTGCACTCGCTGGCTGCCGTCGGCTCCACTTTCCAGCCAATGGAAGGCCGCGAAAAGCTCGGCCATCGGAGCTTTTCCAGCACTTCGGATGCACGGGAATCGGTGGCCAGGAAAAAGGCAGCCAACAACCGGGGGGCGCCACAGTTCAGCTCGAGCAGCCGCCGCCGCAGCTTCGACCGGGCGGAAGTTGGTGAGAGCGGCAGTCGCCAGCGGAAACGGAAGTGCAGAAAGCCCCGAGCGGCTGGCCGTGCAAACTGTTGCTCGTCGGTGTGTGTTGTGTTGTGCTTGTGCTGGTGTTTGTGCTGGTGTTTGTGTTGCTGATGGTGTACCAGTGGCAGTATCGGTGTGCTGGTGGCATTGTTGCTGTTAAACAATTAGCCAAGTTGCTATAACAGACCGAATTATCCGACAAATTTGATGAAAATGGTAAACATTAAACTGTAATGCGGCACGCGGAGTAAAAGTGAGTTTCAGTCTGTCTTGGTGGGTGCGTTTAAATATATCTGTGTGTTTGTGTGCCTGTGTGCCTGTGCGTGTGTTTGTTCGGCACTTTGTAAGCTGCGATTTGACATGTTGATTTATGCGCTGCTCTCACTTTGCCCCCAAACGGCGCTTGCCACCCACCCCGCCCCCTAAGCTCCCAGCTCCCCGCCCCCAGCTGGGATTACTCGTGTCCTGTGTCTCTTTTAACGCCGCTTCGTCCCTTTCGTGCACCCCCCTCCTAGTGCGGCACTTGTTGCGCTCACAGGACACTCGCTTAATTGCTAATCCTCGCGCCCAGACGCGTCTAATTACACGTAAGTTTGCGCCATTTCTGTCCATCCAACGCCATCGCTTTGTGCCCACCCGCCGGCCGTTTAAAGTGCAAATTGGCAGGCGCTTGGGGGCACCAAATGCGGATTGCTCGTCTGGGTGGCCTAGTGGGGGGTGGGGGCTTTGAAAAACAGCCCGGAGGTCACTTAATATGCCATCAACATGAGATTTGCACAAATGGCCCCGGCCTCAAGAATTATGTGTTGCAATAAAATCGATGCGTGGGCGGAGCTTCGGGACTCAAGTGGCGGCTAATGACCAACTTGCGACGTGACTTTGGCCAGGATTTGTAATTTGCGAACTGACCAGCCCAGCACCAGTAACCAGCAACCAGCCACCAGCCACCCTCCACCTTCCAACCCCGGCGTATACATACTCCTAGATCTTAAGTGTTTTATGGACTTTCCCTGTTTGTGTTGTGCACACACTCGGTTATTTTTACAGCGGAGACAGGGGTGAAAGTGCCCCGTCAGCTTGGGTGGCTGGACGGGTAGATAGGAGTGGGAGTGGTAGGAACAGTGGGGTGGGGAGGCTGGTGTTAAGTATGCGTTTAACGGGTGCGGGCTTAATTACAAACAAAGTTTGCCAAAGGGTTGACCCGAGAACTTCTTTATGACGCGATGGAGGCCTGCAACGTAATGACGAAGAGTCATTACTCCGGCCACCTGGTACTCAAATGCGCACTGATGATGGCCAGCCGGAGCACTAGGGGCGGCAAGGAAAGAGGCGCAGACGGAAGACGGAAAGCGCAGAGCAGAAAAGCGGAAAAGCGGAAAGCCGGAAAAGCGAGGTGGTGCCAGTGCAGGCGGACCCGAGGCCATAAACCTGATTGAAGCGCGGCCCACGCATTGGCATTTGTATATGCAAATGGGGCTTAACCCCATTCAAATTATCCACACATCGCTCCCCGGCATGCATAAGTTATGGGCCCAGGTAGCGCTAGTCGGCTTAAAGTCAATGGAATCCATCAATAATTCCAGCCGCTGCCAGAACCAAGGGCTCACATTTCCTTTATAATTCGGAAATCTGCAGCAATTATTATCTTACACAAGCTTACCTTTTCTCGGCGAACCCCTCCGGGCATCAGGACCCTGGTCTAATACAATAAGCTGGCCAAAAACTCCCCCCGGGCCCCAGCTCGTTGGCCTTTATGCATACACAATTCCGCATTGAAAAAAACGATGCGGACCGAACTGCTGAGGACTTGAATGCGCCCAAAGAGAACGAGAACGGGAACGAGAACGACAGATATTCCTATTGATTTGTTGTCTGCAGATTCTCGCAATGCCGAAACCTGTTGGCCAGAGCGAGAGGGAGTGGGTCAGGTGAGCCCTGGACTCATGGCCACTTTTGCGTCAACATTTTGTTATCATCCTCGAGCTATATCCCCCAATCCGTCCCCACTGGTCGGCTTGGTTCGACTCGTTGCGGTGGCAACACGCCATTATATTACGTGAAATGCAAAACACAACGCAACAAAAAAGATGGGCGAATAGCTAGCTGGCTGTGGCGGGGCAACAACAAGTTGCTAAACACTTGAATCAATCACTCGAATAATTGATGCCTTGTAAGTGGAATTTACGAAAAGATTGTCTCAAAGATTCAGGGACTTAGGTGAAAACTTTGAAACGACCAACTTTTCAGTTCATGATTATGCATTCCAGTTTATTCCACACAATCTAAGCAAGAGTTAAAATTTAAGTTTGCCAGACCAAAACTGTCCACAAACTTAGTACTTTTTATTGTATTACAAAGCAATGATTAAATATCGTACAAACATGGGTCGCAGTGAACAAAACTGAGACGCAAACATGAAGAGTTTTCCGACTTTTACGCGGCGTGGCGAAAACCACCAAGGTCCGCATCCAACAGGTGGACTACCAGGTACTCAACGACGGTTATTCCGCACTATTTGCTTTCCCGTATGGGCACGTACTCACGCATACGGATGTGTGTGGGCTCCAGGGCAATTTGTACTCGCGATAGATAATAATGGCCCGCAGGTCGGACGTGAGCCCGCAGTAGAAGGTGGCAGCTCGAACGAGCCACGTGTGTCCCGGGGGCACAGCCAAGTGAACGGCCAGGCAGCGGCAACTGCAACATATGCATGCAACAGCAATGAGGCACGGTAGCTCGCATTAAAGTGCAGCAATCGCCACGGGATGTTCCGCCATCGTAAAACTAAAGTGCTGGCCAACATAGCCCCTATGCGGAGCATGGAAAGCCACTTGCCGGCGCAATTGGAGCTGAGGAAGTGGCCATCGCTGCCATCTGCCGAGGGCGCCCAAATGTAGGCAACAGTTCGCGGCTGCAACTCAAACGCGAGGCTGGCAAATCCCATTAGAGGAACTTTGCTACCGCCCCGCACACCAACGTGAAGTTTCCCGCAAGCGGATTGTTGCCAACTTTTGCATAAGTTAAGCATCCAGTGGTGTGTGAATGTGCTGACAGCTTGTGGGTGTGGTTGGGTGGTTGGGTGGCTGGGTGGAGCGATAATAGGGGCGGCCACTTAGGCCACCATGCGAAGGAGAACGCACATTTAACAATAATTGCCAGGCCAAATAGAGCACTTCCCCGGCTCTTTATGGCTTCCTGCTATCCGACCAAAGTCGGAAAATGACTTGCGGCCACAACACTCGTCGCCCTGTTCTGCTGGCCAAACGGCTCCTAGGGTCCGCTTTTCATTATTTTGATTAAATACAGATAAGGCCATAAATTATGTTTACTTTGTGCCCGTTTGGGCCATGGCCCACGCTTTTGTGTGTGTGCATGATGAGGATGAGTAATGGCCCATGATATTTACACATGAGTTGGCCATCAGCGACGCGTTACCATCCCATCTACTCATCTCATCAGCCCACCACATGCACAGGGATAAATTGATTTAGCATAAGCATGTTTTCCATCTTACTTAACTATCTCAGTAAACTGCCATCAAGTAGTTACAGTTTAACTCTGGGTTCTGCCTTATATTGTCAATTTTTGATTGTGCATCGATTTTCCTCTGAGTGCATTGAGTAATTCGTGTTTAACTGTCCAGCAGTCGTGAAATGGCCCAGCAACAGCGCAGCTGGGATGAGGGAGCTGTCGGTGGAGGATCCTATGGCCACCCGCACTCCTCGCACCACAAAGTACCTGCCCGAGCTGCCAGCAATCCGCTGCCCTGCAAAGGAGCCACTCCCAAGCTGCCCAGGTGAGATGCCAAATGAATCCGCGACAAATTAGTGTGACTTGATACCCCCAACAGGCAATACCATGGAGGACCGACGTCGGGTTACAACTATGGGGGATACGATACCCCGAGGAGTCCCAAGATCACCACCACCTTTGCCCAAGACAGCTGTGATGATGTCAGTAGCTCCACGCCCAGCTCCTATTATCAGACGCCTCCTTCGGGTTCCATAGATGATTCGGCCTCCCTGCTCAGCGGACGCACCACGGCACGCAGTCCGAAGTCCCAGTGCCAGTTTGTCTTTGATGCCGTGAGTCCCAGTCACGGCAGGAAGTTCGAGTACTACGAACCGATCTCACCGGACGACGGAGCCCTGTACTACGATCCGCCCAGCTCGCCACGTCGACAGGGTTCCAAGAAGCTAATGAGGACAAAGACCCCACTGGATCCAGTTCCCCAGTTGACCACAACCGGCGTGGATGAGAGCATGGCGGTGGCTATGGCCATGGACAGAGCGGGAGATGGAGGATACGCCCAAGCGGGACCGAGCAAGAGGCAGCGGGATGAGTGGGAGCTACCGGTGATCAGCAAGATCGAGGCCAGAAATCTCAGTGCGGCTGCGGGAGCAGGATCGGGATCGGCTGGAGGAGGCTATTATGGCTTGAAGCGCGACTCCTGCGTCACCGACTGCACCCAGCTGTCTATGGAATCCGGCGAGACGGGCACCCAGCACACCAACAGCACCATGGTGACCCACACCACCACCAGCTTTAGCTTTACGGAGCCGGAAATGGAGCCAGAGGCCGGACAGCCGCAATCGCGGCGCCAGCGCCGCCATGCCATCAACATCACCTCCAATCCCGGTTACCAGGTGCTCCACAGCTCCCACTCCACGCTGGATCGCACCTGTTCCGACAGCGTGGTCTCACTGCGCTACCGCAAATCCACTAGTGACCTGACCCAAGATGCCGACCACGAGCTAAGTGGCTGCAAGCCCAGCAAGCCGAAGGCCCATGTGGAGCACAAGCCGCGACGCAGGGGCAGCTCCAAAGGCGGACTGGCCTATCTGGCCAGCCGGCGCAGTTCCCGGGAGTCGATGAAGAGCGCCTGCTCCAATGCCTCCATCGTTTCCAACGACGATGTGGGCCCACTGGCCTTCCAGAGCTCCAATCGCGGTCGCCAGCGCAGAACATCGAACTTCCTCGAGTTGCCGGGTGAGAATGCTTCCGTTTATCATGGTCTTTCTTTTGAAGATAGTCAAATTCTATCCAAAATCGGATATCAACCCATCCAATCCAACCCATTTCAGTTCCCGACCATATTCGTCCGCGAGTCTGTTCCCTTCCGGAGCGGCCGTACAATCCGCGGGCCAGTGATGACCTGTACCGCCTGCGCCACTTCTCCATCAGCAAGGGCAACGTGGTCAACTGCGGCGACTCGATAATCTCGCGGAGATCGCGGAGCAACACCAGCGTCAACTCGACGAACAGCCGGGCCAGCGAACGTTCCCCCTTCGAGGGCAGCTGTTGCGGAGCGGGCTATGCCAATGTGGACTCGCTGCCGGCGACACCGGACGACTCGGAGAATCTGGATCCACCTCCGCCGGCCCGCTACCGCGTCGTGATGCTGGGCGATGCCGGCGTGGGCAAGACGGCGCTGGTCAATCAGTTCATGACCTCGGAGTACATGCACACCTATGACGCCAGCCTGGGTAAGTTGTGTGCCAAAGTGGGTGCGGGTTATGGTCCGGGTACCTCGGGGACTATCCGCAGAGCGCAGTGAGTAGCCGAGTGACCCCTAGCTGGAACCTATGTGTGTGCCTGACCCCTAGCTTCCCGGCTGCCACTGTCGTCTTTAGAGTTTAATTCTGATCTGAGTTTTAGACGACGAGTTCGGCGAGAAGACGGTGAGCGTGCTGCTGGACGATGAGGAATCGGACATGGTCTTCATCGACCATCCCAGCGTCGAGATGAGCGTGGAGAACTCCCTCTCCACATACGAGCCGCACGGCTGTGTCGTGGTCTTCTCGGTGGTGGACCGCAGCTCCTTCCGCGTGGCCGAGGAAATCATCAATTACCTGTGGCAGGAGAACTACACCAAGGACAAGGCCGTCATCCTGGTGGGCAACAAGGCGGATCTGGCCCGCGCCCGGCTCATCACATCACAGGGTAAGTCCGGGGGCCTTAATTATGATGGCTTGATTTCATTTCGTTCCCCAATTCGCCCTTCTTCCCCCAAGAGGGCAAAGCCCTGGCCGCCTCACGCGATGCCAAATTTATTGAGACGTCCAGCGGCATACAGCACAACGTGGATGAGCTGCTCGTCGGCATATTGAAGCAGGTGAGTCGGGGTGGCAAGGCTGCGGCAAGTGGGGCAGCGTGCGGTCGTTTGGGGCAAGGAGCCAACCACACCCAACCCAGCGATGCATGGCGAAATTGTGCAGGAAACGGAGTTAAATGGATTTACCACGCTGCTGCGGGCTGGGTTGGCTTTCGGGTTTGGGTTTGGTTGGGCCTGCTTCCGGATCGGCTCACTAATTAATGAAAATGGTGCGGCGAGCGGGTCAGCTAACCTGATTGGGTGAGTGGGTAGGATATTTCCGATACTGGTTGATTAGCTCGTAAAATTAATAAAGTTACATCTTACAAATGTATATAATTAACAGCTATGCTAGCTGGCATTTTAAGGCAACGAATCTCATTCTAAGCTCTGCTGTTAAACATCTTTGTACCTATCTTTCACTATGACACTCTGAAACAGATGCGGCTGAAGGAGAAGCGGGAGAAGAAGGCCACCGCCTCGAAGATGAAGACCTCGCGCACCCACATATCGCTGCACCTGGCCAAGGAGCTGCTGCAGAAGATCTGCCTCAGCGACATCTCCAAGTCGAAGAGCTGCGAGAATCTGCATGTGCTATAGAGATGTCCCCCAGGCGAACCCAATCACATGTGCTGAGCCAACCTCGATGTCTTCGTTTTATCGCCCGGCATTCCTGGGCGAAATTATGCCACAAAACTGTATACAAAGGAGAATTTTATCAAAAGCGGCTGCGGGTTGCGGGGCTGCGGCCAAATATTCCACATGCCATTCAGATGGAACCGCAGAAAGGGGGCGGGGATGTGTTCATCTCCTTTGTTTGTCAAATGGGGCTCCGTTTATTAAATGCTTAATGCGGGTCTGGCTTTTCGGCAAGTCATTGGCTGTGGTCAGGCCTCCGGATTCGGCGATAGGCGGCGTGTTTATGGCGGATGTTTTGGATCGGCTTATCGGTGCCAGACGCTCCTCCAACTGGGCGACGAAGGCCAGATTGATAAGCCCCGATCCAATGATCCAATGATCCATTGATCCAACGACCCAGCGAGGCGTGTGCAGCCTTCGACCCGAAAAGAAATAAATAAGCCCGATGAAGTGGGAGAAGCCGTAGTACTATTTATTTATATGTGTACTTTTAATGCGTACTTGCATACATATATGTGTTCCAATGCGAATAACTTCAATTCCAATAATGCGCTGTCAATTGAAACGCTTCGTTTGAAGAGCAGGCCCCACAGGACGAGAGAAACTTTATAGATGTTGATTTATGTATACACATAGTGGCCATAAGCAGCATATACATATACACGTGACCTCTATCGGATAAGTTTATTGTCTAGGCTAGGGTTACTAAACGCTCCACCTGCTTCGCAAAGAAATTCTTCCAATCGACGAATATCTCATATCGGAATGACTGTTGAATGTTGACTGTTGTTAGTCTAAGCCAAACCAAAACAAAACAAAGCAAAACTAAATTAAACTAAAGGGAATACCATTTAATCAAAGTACTTCACTCAGACGTTACTGCGAGTATATCGATGTGTGTATCTTTACGTGTACCTACATTATACATTATATATTTAGAGATAGATACGTATACACATATATTTACGACCGTGCTCGGTTGGAACTTCTAACCCTTCTGAACTCATACGCTTATATTTGAAAAATACCTTTTACAAAATGCGAAAGGCAGGCGAAACCAAACGTATCTCTAACTATTTTCATACGCAAACTTACACACTAAAGGGGGAACGCGAGGAGCCGAACGGGAGTGGGATGGAGGTCCTGGCCCTGGACCGGGCTCGTCCAAAGTCGAGCACTCGACAGCTGTGCACTCATGTTTGCTCCAACCCTTTCCTTCCGCTTCACATGCTCCACGTCCGCCTTTCTGTCGAGTGCACTTTATCATTTTTAACATTTAGCAAACAAAACAGAAACTTGCCCCGGCGAAAGTTTTAATTTGCAACGCAACGCAACGCGGCAAATATTTCGCATCCGCACTGTGGCCATCTGCATCGCGCATACGCCGCGTGCGCCGGGTCGAGGCCAAATTGAGTTGCTAATCAAATTGCTGAGGAATCCACAATCGAATCACAGAGCCAGCTATGAACTCCCACCGAATTTATTGTGAATTGCCATTTGCTATTTGATAACGATGAAATTGTACCGCTACCACTTAACCAGAACAGTTGGCCTAAGGCGTAGCTATAAAGATATCCAACCAAATACCAATATATATATTTATCTATGTATATGCGTAAAGATCGATGTATATTTATATTTTTCCAAACAAAGACAAAGCAAAGCAGCGCTGTACAACTCAAGGGACAACCCAACAAAGAATCATTTTTGTGTTGCATAGTATAATCCACAATTGTACGCTTTTGCCTGTCACCGCGATGAGGCTGCAGAAAAAGCAAATTAATTAGAGTACACGGAGATAAAATCCGATTACTTGTTTGGTGTATGAATCTCTCCTTCCCCTTCCCCTTCCCCTCCCTCTCCATCCTGCCTCCCCTCCCTTCCTTCGCTTTCCTTCGACTCGATCTCTTCATTCGATAAATAAAGGACAAGGACGCTCTGTAACTAACTTGTGTTTCCTTTGCAGGGGCCAGGGGCAGGGGCAGGGGCGGGGGTCAGGGGTCACGGGCTGCAACCGCAAATTGAATGCCAACTGATGCGGCTGCTGCCGAAGTCCTGGCCCTCCCACATCTCAGCTGTTGCGCACTTGTGGTTCATTAGAGCGGGGCAGCAGCAGGCGGCTGGAATGTGTTAAGTGCTTGTTGTCAGTCGCACCCGAAACTTGGCCGGATTTCACGCTCCTGCGAAATCCTGCGAAGTGCTGCGAAGTCCTGCGAAGCACACCGACACAATATTGGTTTTTCCGAGAATCGCAGAATCAATCGGCAGTCGCTGGATGGCCGTAATTAACTTACGAGAAGACGTCGCTCGGAGCTGCTGAAAAGTTGACAATCCGGCTCTGATTGATGGCCCAAATCAGTGGACTCACATTCCTGACAATGGCATGGCAACCCCAGCCCTCTTACAGATTTATCGGCGAAACTTTGGCGGCTCACCGACCCCGCCACCTGCTGGGTCTCATAATTTTAATGAGCTTATTTTATTACATTTAACGCACCGAAGAGCCGCCGCCCGCAGATCATCATGCAAATGGCTTCCTTTCGAGCAGCGATTGTGTCGCTTACCTTCGTCCTTGGCGGGCTCAGTGGCCAAATCAAACTAATTCCAAGTTCAATAAACAAGTCTAAATGAGTATCCCCGACCGGCCCATTCCCTAATCAGCACCAGCCTCCCGGGCAGTGTAAATTCTTATGAAAATAAGCAACGTTGGCATGGGGCGCGGAAGTCGTTGAGGGTTCCAAGGATCATAATCGAGTCGCTGGAGAGTCGACAAAAATCGATTAAAAGCTAAGCCATTAGACCGCGTAAGCTGGGTTATTTGGGGTGCAGCTAAATGCCAGGCGCACAATTAAATTGGGGTGGATATGGCGTTAATTAAATGCGGACAGGTATGAGTTATTACGAATCTGGACAGCCATGGCCGTCCTATCTCGGATTACCCATCGATTATGTAGCACGAGGGATAACGACACACTGCATTATCCTTTTACGTTTCCGAACGGATTACTCTGTCCTCCGCAGCGGGCAGGCAATACCTTAAGAGCTAGCCGGAAAAGGGATCATAAAGGACGCCAGAGTACACACAATCTTTTAGGGCCAAAAGCTGTTGGCCATCTGCACATCTGCACACTTGCGAATGTATGGATGTATGGATGTGTGCCTAGTGCCGAGCCACCTCAAAAAGAAAAAATACAAATAAAAGTAAAAATAAAAAGGGCCGGGCCACTCAGACGCACAAACAAACAAACAAACAAACAAACAAGCGAACAAACGAACACTCAGGTATTCTCGCATGGCAGATGAAGAAATATTCGCGCCGCCAGCCGTCACTCTCGAGGGATTCATAACCAAATAAGCCGAATTTTTAAAGCATACTTTCCGCCCACCGCCCGCCAGCAGCCAGGATTCAGCTGGATCCTTGGCAGGGATTCCCGGAGTGGCGGGGCCACTGAAATTTCCGAAATGAAACTTTAAGCAGTGTGGAAAATGAAATTTAAATAACGATTTATTGCCTTTGAAGTATGATTATTTGCACGGTGGGACGAGGGACTACGTAAACATCGGGAGCAACGGCCGTGTCGACATACCGCATACCCTAGCATGCCAACAAGACTGGACAGCAAAGTCCTGGAACTTCACTTGGGCAGCAATAACTTAGCTGCCAACTTGTCACTGTAGTAACGCAAATGAAATGAGCTTCTTGCAGGCCATTTATCAAGTGCTATATTAAAGACTGAACGTTGCTCAGTAGCTAAGCGATTATAATGTTACTTTCTAGTAATATTGTAATATTAATCTATTTCCAAATAATAAGCTTCCACTGCATAAATCCCTCTGCAACAAGGCAGAAGGCAAAAAATATCAATTAGTTAGCGCACAATAAACACGGCGATCTAAGACATTAGCTTGCAATTTGGCCAAGACCTACAAACTTGGCTCTATTATTCTGTGCCCTCCAGTTGCTCGAAACATGTGAAAATAAGAAGCGGATATCGTGTAGCCGGAAAAAGCAAGAAACCCTATTACATGCTAGTGGCATTTAGGGATGTGAGTGGCCGTACGCCGCCACCGGATGCGTCCGTCGTCCGTCCAGCCCCATAAGCGTAATGAAGAGCTGGACAACTGGAATGGATGGGAGCCACCTATGCCACCTGCTCATATGGCACACCTGTCCGCCCGTGTGTGCTGGGTTATCAGGATCAAACGCCGGCGGCAGCAGACGAGGTCGCTCCTTTCGCTATCCAGCGCCGGCTGCTCCTGCTGTCGCTGTCAATTCATCGCATTGGCATGAAATTGCTTTTTGCGATAGCTGGGAGGCAACAGCAACAAGTTGCGCCTATACCATACTATGGCACCCATACTATATATAGGACGTCTACGGTCGGGCTTACAAAGGAAATGAGAAAAGGTTGGCCGGGTTGTTTGCCCGCCTGTTGATGTTTGTGGGTCTGGATCTACTTGGAAATTTGCGTGGCGCAGGAAACAGGATGTTGTCGGTGGGCTGGGGCATTGGGGCATTGTTTATTCTTCGTCGGCGGGCGGGAGGCCGCAAAAAGTCAGGCCGGGAACCCTAACGAGATACGAAAATGCGTAAAGAGCTGCGAAAAGGGGCGCTCATTTCGGGCGAGTGGGTGTGGCACTTGCGGCATGCAAATTACAAGCGGAATCTCGACTGTGGCCCACGAACCTCGATCGGCGGTGGGGTAAGGACGCTGGTGGCAGGGGAAAGGGCATTAAATGCGAGAAGCGAAGGGGCCACGACAAAATAATCTCTCAAATGTAAGAAAACTGGCAGCGGGGGGCCATTTCCTCCTGCTGCAGTTAAATGCCAAAATGGCAATTTGCTAAAGTTTTCCCGAGTTAAGCGAGCGGACGAGGCAGTGGCCAGCGAGCTCGGATGGGGTGCCAGAATGGCAGGTTCAAGGGGGTTGGGACGAGATTTTCCGGGGGCCATAAAAGTCAAAGCTTGTCTGTTACACTCCCAATATTCAGTTACACTGAGAAAAAAGGCATAGTGCCCCACTTACTTTCGACTAATTACTTTTGCCAATCAATCATCGTTCACACTCCTTCATTGTACTTCCCGGAGAGGAAATCGCATGCAGCATTCACTCATTCAGTTAAAATGATATATATCATTCTCTATGGTGCTCCGAAGTGTGACTCGAAGGCGCTCTTAAAATGCATTGTCTTTTTATAAAGGCTTGGCTTTTTAAACCTATTACAGGCATATTCTGTTTGAGTACTTACATTACTATCATTTAAGTGAAAGTTAAAAGCAAAGTATTGATGTACAACTTGTTGTGTTATTTCATATAACCTATATAAGTTAGCAAAGTGAGCACAGTTTTTCTTCGAGTGCATGTCAGCCTGTAGTAGATACCCGGGCTCCACAGCTCAGCATCCTGGCACTTGTTGAGCGTTTTGCAAGCGAACGGCAACAAAAACGTGTCAAAGAAATTGAA